CTAAAAACAAGAAGATTATCCAAATGGAATGCTGAAGGGATACTATGAACTGATTTGGAAGTAGTAAGAAGATAAAATCAATCTTGAAAACCTCTCACCAGAGAAAAACTCAAAACCTACAGCAGACACACACACACACACACACACACAGAGAGAGAGAGAGAGAGAGAGAGAGAGAGAGAGAGAGAGAGAGAGAGAAAGAGAATGCATATATTTGTGTAAAATGTATGCTTTTTCTCTAGAAAAACAATAAAAACCAAAAGCAAAAGCAATGCCATGCATAGACTAGAGAGTTGGAAGACATAGTAAGATTTTTACAGATTGTCTTGTGTATGCTATGTAACTTTTGTGAGATCATTGCCTTCTCTTCCTAGTTAGGGTTATGTAAGACAGACACACAATATGTAGTGCCTGGATAAAACAGAACTCAGAGGATAGCTCTTCCCACACAGTGCTGGAGCCATGTCTAGACAGATTCAGGTGACAGACCTTGGGACTATATGACAAGGGTTGTATCTCCCTCAGTCTGCTGAGGACCTTCCAAAGAAAGTATAAAGGGTGCTTCACAGGCCCAAGAGGCCTGAGAGGACATGGCAGGTGCTTGGGAGGTGCTAGAAGGAAGACCCTTCCTCTTTTTCCACAGGAGGCAGTAGTCTTTCTTAAGCTGCTGCTCAACCATTTGTCCCAAAAGCCAAGGAGGGGTGACACTCTCAGATGCCAAGGCCCCTTTACTAGTAGAAACAGGTCCACAGGATGCTGGCTGCAGAGGGAAAGAGCAGGCAGAAGAAAGCCAGGCCAGAGAAGAAGCATTAGGCAGAGGATCAGGGACTGAGTGTCTCCGAAGTGCTGCCTCCTCACAACTGAGTCTTGGTCCCTCACAGAGACAATCAACACCTTGTCCCTTGTGCATAGCTGCCATGGAGGCAAAGCCTTGACAGAGAGAAGCCTGGACAATACTGTGGGCTATGAAGGGCTTGGCGCTGGGGATCCATCTGCACTGTAGAGGCAGACAGTAGAGGACAGGGAACACAGACCTAGGAAAGCCTCATGCCCTGGGCTCCTCCCATCCCACCCTAGCCTTTTCTCTTCCTTTTTAGGATAGTCTAAAGTAGATTCACCCCCTTCTCGCTTAGACTCCCTGGTGACACACCACAGAGAAGGAAGGGAGCTAGAGTCTCGGATTCTAGAGCTCAGCGACTCGAATTTGCTTTATTCAGCAGCCCACACAGTCACCTCACCCACAGGAGGCAGAGAGAAGCAGAGACTGAGAAGGCAGGTACCAGCCATGGAGTTTTAGTTTGCTTTCTGTTGCTGTGACAAACACCATAACCACAAACCACTTGGGAGAAGAGAGGGTTTATTTCTTCTTGGAGCTTACAGTCCATCATGAGGGGAAGTCAGGACAGGAGAGAAACTCAAGCAGGAACCTCAAAGCAGGAACTGAATCAGTGATCATGGGGAAGACTGCTTACTGGCTTACTCCCTTGGCTTGCTCAGTCTGATTTCTTATACAACCCAGGAATACCTGTCTAGAAGTGGCACTGTCCACAGTGTTGTTGGGCCCTCACACATCAATACTTAATCAAGAGAATGCATCACAGCTCACCCACAGACCATCTGATGGAGGCATCTTCTCAATTAAAAGTCCCCCTTCCCCCGAATGACTTCATTTAGTGACAAAACCCAATGAGCACAGCATTGGTGAGCACCTCTTCTCCCCAGTGTACCAGGGCTGAACTGCCTGGTTCTCAGAGCAGGCAGCTATCAATTTGACCTTGCTCCTGTCCACCAGCTTTTCTTCTCTGTCCACTTCAGGCTTGTGGGGTTGACCTGGCTTCTAACCCCTGCTCTTATTGTCATGCACAGCTGTGCAGACCCTGTGTAGGCTTCTGAAGACCACTCCACTGAAGCCCCAGATCCACCCTTCATCCTTCCAGGTGGACAAAGTGTTCCTTAGGAAAGAAATATTGGAGCCACCTTCCTTTGATAAAATCATTTTTCCTAGGGACACCAAGTTAGATCTGCCTTCCCTCTCATCTTCTCCTTATACTGTGATCCTACAGCAACCATTAGAAGTTTGACTCTCAGTGTCTTTATCCAGGTGGCTCCCTCCCCTGCTCCTCAAAAGCTACTTGAAATAAAAAGCAGGTGTATAGTCATTTTCTTCAAATTCAATGAAGAAACCAATGAAAGATGACTAATGAAAAAAACAAGACACAATTGCCCAAAGGATCTCCTGATGTTTTCCCTTCATCCCTCTAGGCATGAAGGAAATCAGAGTGATCCAGTTCTCTGTTCCTTTTCAGTTTGTTCTTTTGAGACAGGATTTCTCTGTGTAACAGCCCTGGCTGTCCTGGAACTCATTTTGTAGACAAGGCTGACTTCAAACTCACAGAGATCTGCCTCTCTAGTGCTTGGGATTAAAGGCGTGCTTGTGCCACCATTGCCTAGCTAATTTTCTGGTCTCACTCAAAGACTTTTTCTGCTTCTCTCCTGGCAGCAGCTGTCATGCTACAGGTCTTGTTCTGCCAGGGGACAAAAGCTCATGGAGATTATCTAGGGCAGTAAGGGCTACTCACTTGTCAAAGATGAAGTAAACATCAAAGTCACCATCACAATACTGCAGAGTCTCCTCCGCCTCTTCCTCCATAGTCTTCCTCGAGTCCCAATCTTCATAATCCAGGAAGGTATCAGAGTTCTCATGATAGTCATGTTGGTCAGATCGAGGGTACAGGAAACTGTGGACTGCAACAAGTGGCATGGACAATATAAGAAGCAGCAGCATCAGGTTCACCGAATGGGACACCTGGGGACTATGGTCTTTCATTTTCTTGGCTGATCCTGTAAGTCTACTAAAAAGGGGACTTCAGGCCAGAGTCTATGCAGGCTGAGTTCTAGCCACCTGACTTCCTTCTCTGCTGCCTCTTCCTACACTTAGGGACGATAACCCTTGTGTCCTCTCACTGCTCACTGCTGCTCTCTACTTGGTGGCCTCGGAACACAGACTGGGCATGTAGCTGCTTTAGGGTGTCCTGCTTCTCATTGCCTATAACACTCTTCCCCCAATACCCTGGGGTTATGATGGGCAGGGAGGTTGACATGGTGACTTTGTGACCTGTGCCTTTGCTCAATGCCTTCATGTTGACAGTGCCAAGTGTCAGTCACAGACTGAAACCTTAGCAGAGGATTCAGATAAGGCCTCCTTGTCCCTTATCACAGATCCTCACAGAGGTCCTTAGGGGCCACTTCGAGGAACTGAGACATTTTTCACTAAGAATGTAGCAGAGGGAGTGGGATTAGCAGGTCACCAAGGGTGAGGGGGCCAAGGGACCAAGAAGCCAATTGTGTGCCATCAAGTAAGCCAGGCAATAGCAGGGTCTAGACAGGGAAGGAGACTGTGTGCTGCTGCCAGCATCCTCTGTGAATGGAAAGAGTCCAGTCATCCACTGTCATGTGACAAGTTGCCCCATCTTGGTGACTTAACATGGAACTGTTTTATTGTGCTCACAAATTCCATGGGGAATGTGGAGTGGGCCCCTGGGGAGTGTGGGGTGAGAGGGTGCTTGTGACAGGGCTCCTGGGAAGACTTCAGCACTGTGGTAGGACTTGTGTGGTAGAGACTGAAATTTTCTGGAAGTTTCTTTACTGTTGTGTAACTGGTCTCCAAAGGCTCATCTGTGACTGTTTATGGAACCCTTGTATCCATGGCTATCTATCTATGACTTGGACCTCCTCACAGTGTGGTAGCATCAAGAGGAGTGGACTTTCCTGATGGAGGCTTGGAGCATCAAGAATATCTGCAGGGAGCCAGGTCAAAATGTGGAACCCTTTATGACATCATCCATATCTGCAGGTCAGAGCTGCTGCAGCAGAGAAGGTTAGCAACAAGGACACAGTCCTTTGCTCTCAGAGGATTGTGGGTGGGCTTAGCCCACGATTACCCGGCTGCTTCATAGCACTTGCAGTGGCAGAGGGGATGTGTTATGGGGAGACAAAACATTTCAGAGTCTTCCAGCTGAGGGCAAACAAGCTTTGTTTTCTTTGTTTGAGATGCACAAAGGCAAATCTGATGAAATTGTTCTTAGGCTAACACATATAATGTGCAAATGCCTTACAGCACACCCCATTGGATTGATGGACTTTTGTTTCAGGAATTAAATGATAGAATAGCTTGAATATTTAGTATTTTAGAATTCATGAAATCCCATCAGCATATTATGGTTCTCCTGACTCACCTAAGAAACACAGCAGGGTCCAAGTAGGAGAGGAACTTTAGCCCAGGTGCCACTAAGGAAGATTCCAGACAATTCTGAGTTCTGCTTCTCAACTCTTCCCTGGAAGCCTCATTCTGAAATATACCCTATTCTTCCTGAGAGCCCCACCTTGCTAATTTAGTAAAATGGTTAAGTCACCGAGGTTGTGTGGCTTGTCACATGGCAGTGAATAACTGGACTTCCCCTGTTCACAGAAGATTGTGGCAGGAGGATGTCATCTCCACCCCTTCTAGATTTTGTCAGCACCTGGCTGACTTAGGGACCCAAAACAGCTTCCCAATGCCCATTTCCCCACTAATGATGACCCATGATCTTGGCCACTTTGAGACACTGTTTCATTTAACAAAATGTCTGGATTCCTTGGCTAGGTGAGGGACAAGGAGGTTTTATCTGATAACAAAGTTCTGTGACTGCCACTTGGCACTGCCAGCATGCAGGACATTGAGGAGAGGGCAGGTCACAAAGTCACCATGTCAACCTCCCTGCCCATCATAACTCTAGAATGTTGGTATAAGGGCTATGCAGGCAGTGAGAGGCAGGATACCCCCAGAGCAGCTATGTCCCTGGTCCCTATACTCTGAGGCCACCAAGAGGACAGCAGCAGTGAGCATTGGTGAGAGGACACAAGGGCTATTTTCCACAAGTGCAGGCAGTGGCAGCAGCAACAGAGAAGGAAGTCAGAGGTGGCCTGTGGTCCACCTCTCTGGGACAAAGACCACCAAGAAAATGCTGGGTTCCTGCCCCCAGGTACCTCACTCTGTGCTCTTCCTGTTTGCGTTACTTCCATCACTGCTCAGCACAGGGAACTTCCTGTACCAGTACCCTGACAGAGAATACTACCCTGGACTGGGCTTAGGCTCCAGAAATTTCCACCACCACGAAGACCAGAACCTAATGCATATGTGGCATCGAAGGAATTCGAAGTTGAAACCATGCCAGGCTACCCCTGACATCTACTTTGTCTTGGATAAGTGAGTGGCTTTTCCTTACAGGGAACACTGAAGGCCCCACCATCTCCAGAGACCATGGTGGTCAGAACCCAGCTTCTGTGACTGACTTGTTTCCTGAAATCAGGAAGGCTACCACAGCGCTTCCTGGTGGCTCTATGCCTACTGTATTGCCTCAATCTGGGTTTTTATTGTCCTTCAGCCCACTGGCTATTAGGGGCTGACTTCTCAGCCCTGTGAACAGGGGCTCTGCAGAGATGATTGTTGCCACCAAATGACATTTGCTTAGCTATTCCAAGCAGTCAACTTCTTTCTTCTACTTGAAGACTCAGAGACAGTCCCTGTGCTGTTGGCTTCAGTGTGGCTTTGGGTAGGCTGGGCTAGTGCTTAGGCCCCTCTTGGCTGTCAAGGGAAGGAAGGGGTTGTGGGCCTGGGCTGGGAGAGCTAGCCTGGACTCCTTTTTCTGAACTTCTTGGCAAGCTAGGGCTGTATTTTCTGCCCATTCATCCAGAGCCAGGTTGGGGAAGCCATGTCTGGGCTCTCTTGAATGCTTGTGTCTTCAAACATCCTGGGCTACAGAGGAGCTTGGGGCTTCTATTTTGGAGTGCACTCTTGGGCTGGCAAGGTGACAAAGGCACTTGCTGGTGACAAGACCAGGCTTCTGGGCTCTGGTGACAAGACTGGGCTCTGCTCATTTTTTCTTGCTTGTATCATCTCATGTCTCTCATTCTCCCTGAACACTGGCCGGCAAGTAGACATGGATCTAGCCCATTGTTTCTAAGCTGAGCCAGCAACTTACGGAGCCTTCCTACTCTAAAAGGAGCCTTTTCTCTGTCCAGCCCAGGGACTGCAAAAACAATGGATACATCCTGTCCCTTTGATAGTTAGCACTACTGGGGTTGGCATTTTCCCTTGGGTATCAGGGCCAGATGGGAATGGGCCCTAAGGGGGCTGTGGGACTGACAGCCTGATTGAGCCAGTCCTTCTATAGAGTGGTCCTTTTAGCTGCCATCCTGTTGTATTTGTCCCACATACTTCCCTAGGGCCCCACTGTGGGGTATAGAAGGGAATGAACCCTTCTCTATGATGGATGGAAAGGGCTATGGGCACAGATGGGGGGAGTGAAACAGCATTAATTATGCAGCCTGTTAAGGTGCCATGTTCACTTGCACAGCCTGCTGTTTTACAAGTGAGTGAGGGTAAATTTAATGTTCAACACTATGAGTATCACAACTCAAAGCCCCTATCAAACTCTTCACTTCTGACCCCACTGCCTCAAGGCAGTAGCATGCAAGTCTAGATCTTTCCTTATTGGTATTATGGCCTTGTTTGTGCTAAAAGGATTATACCTAGTACCTTCTGTTATGTGTGAGGTTTGTAGTTCCTCTATCAACTGATAACTAAAGGGAAAGAGCATTTAGCTTTTCCACAGCTTGGTTTTCCTGAATGACTCTGTCACACCGTTTCCCTGCATCATGCTTAAATGACTATGACGAGGTCTCAGATTTTAGCACGAAAGCCACCCTCAGATGCCAGTTGATCACGGTTTCATATAAGAATGAGCTTTGATACACAAATGGGGCAATGTTCTGGAAGTTCTAGGCCCCTGTATGTTGTAAGGTCTTTCTTCCCATTGCACTTGAATCCTAAATTTGTCTTGAGTTCTGGAATCCAGATCCTCCTTCTATAATCTCAGATTGAAAACTTCTAGAGTCCATGAGCAGGATAGATATGCTGGGTCGCCATGAACCTTTGTGGGAAGGCACTCTTCACACAAAAGGGGCAAAAACATAAAGCCATGTCAACTTCTGTTAGGGAAAAGGATCCATCTGGCACCTTAGTCTGGGAGCTTCCCAGAACAAAGTCTGTATGGCATTTAGTTTTCAGAGTCAAAGCCTAGTTATTCACACTGGAGACAAGGTGTACAGAAGCAATGAGCAGTATATGGGATTTGGAGAAAGTTCTAGATTCACGCATAGTTGCTGAGAATACTGTAAAAACTGGCTCTACCTTCCAGAGCTTTGTTGTAGAGATTAGGTGGTATCATGGGGTTTATCTGTAGGTGCATGAGTGCCATGAGGATGATAGTCTTGCTAGTGTTTGGATCATCTAACAGTGAATTTGTCCATCATCTCTACACAGAGTTCAGTTGGACAGAGGCCATAGGACACCATTCTTTGGCGTAAAATATGATAGTTAATATTGACTATTAGCTTGACAAAACTGAGAATCACCCAGGAGACATCCCTTAGGGCACGATTTGGGGGAATTTCTAATTGGGCTAACTGGGGTGGGAAGAGTCTCCTTAAAAATTGACAGCACCATGTGAAGAGTCCCAGCATGAATAAAAAAGGAGAAAGCAAGCTGCTAACTAGCATCAGTTTCTCTCTGCTTCTGGACTGAGGATACAACGTGACCAGCTGCTCCATGCTTCTGCACTATGACTTTCCTGCCCCCACAATGGTCTATACCCTCAAACCTGAGGCAAAATAAACCCGAAATTGCTTTGTCAGCAATTTGGTTCCCACTAGTGAGAAGTGGGTAGTTGCTGTGATTAACCAGACAATGTGACTTTTAAGGCTTTTAGAACTGATTTGCAACAGTAAATGTGAAAGGATTTGGAAATTTGGGACAGAAAATTCTCATGATGCTGTAATCAAAGCTTCATGGGTCATTCCAGTGGCTGTTGGGAAGACCAGAATCCAAGATATATGCAGTAAAGTGGTTGATTTGCTCCTGAGGTTTCAGAGAGGGATGAGGACTCTGGGACCTGGGCTAGAGATTATTCATGGCATATTCTGGAAAGGAATATGGCTGCATTATGCTTGTGTCCTGAGAACTTGAGTGAGAAAAAAAGTGTTTAACTGAACTGGGAATGTAGCTCAGTCTGTGGAGCACTTTGACTAAAATGCACAGAGCCCTTGGTTCCATGCCCAGACTGCATGAAGGGGGCTTGGAGGTGCATAGGAAAGTGTTTCCCACACTTAGGAAACAGAGGCGAGATTTTGTGTCAAGATCATTCTGCATAACAAGTTTGAGGACATCCTAGGATACATGAGACACTGTTTTGTTTTTGGTAAGGGACTAATTTGTTTGGTGGAAGAAATTTCAAGACAGGATAGCATGTCAGGCTGATAGGCTGTTCCATGGTTAGTGCTCATTGCTCTTATCTAGGTCCCCAGTGAGAACAGAGAAACAAATAAGCCAATTATGTATGTATGTATGTATGTATGTATGTATGTATGTATGTATGTAGGGTGGACAGAGTGGTGTGTGTGTGTGTGTGTGTGTGTGTGTGTGTGTGTGTGTGTGTGTGTGTGTGTCTATGCATGTGCATGTGAGTGCGTGTGTGGTTTGTGGAGAAAGGAGAAAGTCCAAATTGTATATAAGGTGGATGCTGAGAAAGCAGGGGAACTGGTATAAAGACTAGCATGCTTAAAGAAAAATCTTCTCTGCACCAAAACAATAGGAAAGATGCCCCAAGGAAAGAAATGCTACCAAGCAAAGACTTCCTCTTCAGAAAAATACAAATTCAACAGAAGAGGGAGTCTACATTGGGAAGCCCACTGCAGTAATTTCTTGCTGGAAAACAACTCCCAGTAAAGTGTTTCCCTGGGGCTAGCACACACAGAGAGATGGGACTGTGGTCTATAGGTGCAAGGCTTTATCACAAACTAGCAGCAGAACATACCAGCATCATTTGTGTAGTACAGGTTTGTAGGAACAAAAGATGCAAGATTTCATTGGTTATGGTCCATGGTTCTAGGAAGCCATTGAGTCCAGACAATATGTGAAGCTGAGAAGATAAAGTTTAAATTTCAATGAAGACCCAAGGGACATCTCCTGAGAAAAGCTGCAGGCATGGATTAGACCCAAAAAAGAAGCCACGAGTGTTGAAGGCAGCATACCTAATCGACCAGGGCTCCTTGAAGATGATTTCAAGACCCCAGATGCTGGACATGATGTTTGCCCTGTTTAGTTTTGGCTTTGCGTTAATCTGATCTTTCCTTGCTGTGTCTCCATCCCCCTTTTTGGAATAGTAAATCTTTACTCTGTGCTAGTATATGTTAGAGACAGGTGGTTTGCTTTTGAATGTTACTAGAGCTCACTGCCTTAGTCTCTGAAAAGATCATACTCCTATACTTTTGAGCAGTGTTGGGACTGTTAAAGAGTTTGGGGACTTTTGAAGTTAGAATGAATGCATTTTGTCTTCTGAGATAGCCATGAGCTGACAAGGAAAGGGGTTTTTGTTTTGTTTTGTTTTGGTGTCCAGTTGACAAGGGGTGGACATGTGATGGCTAACATTATCAACTTGATGGCATCTGGGGTTGCTTAGAAGACACATTTTTGGACATGTATACCAGAGAGTTTCCATGTTGGGCTACCTGAAGTGTGAAGACCCATGATAAATGTGGGCCACACTGTTCCATGGGCTGGAGTCTCATTTGAAATTCAAAGGAAACAGCAAGCTGAGCGTTGCATCAACCTCTCTTTGCTCCTTCTTTCTTTTTTTCTTTCTATCTTTTTTTGAGAGGGCTTTTTTGATACAGTTTCTCTGTGTAGCCTTGGATGTCCTGGAACTTGCTCTGTAGACCAGGCTAGCCTCAATCCACCCATCTCTGCCTCCCAAATGCTGGGATTAAAGGTGTGCAACACCACCTGACACTCTGCTCTTTGACAATGGGTGTAATAGGTTTAACTGCTTCTGTGACTTGTCCACTGTGTCATACTGTATTCCCAAGCTGCAGGCCAAAATAAGCTCATCTTTCTTTAAGTCACTTTTGTTTGATATTTTGTCACAGCAACCTGAAAAGTGATTAATTCTGTGACAATTACACATATGACATAACCTTCAGGAAGGTCACATTCATGGGCACAAATGCCACTGGATGTGAATTCTCTGTCAGTAGGAGCTTCTGACTCATAGCATTTGAAACATACTAGCTGACAAAATCCAGAGGCTATGCCAGCCTCAGATTCACTCCATAGCACTGCTTAGATTTCAGAAGGAATAGATTACCACTGAACACTCTCCATCCATCCTCATACCTGAAGAACTTTTTGTCTCTTCCTTGACCTGATGACCAGCAAAGCTTACAGAGCCCTTTGTTTCTGGGATGTGGGTCAGAGGTCAAAATCCCATTTCCTTCACTTGCTTGCTTTCCATCCAGGGACTGATGGGGGGGAAAAACTGGAAGCAGGGATTTGAGAGTCAGAACTGGAAAACCACAGCTGTCACGAGGACTGGGGACTATGATGTCATGGCAGCAGTGGCTGGGCCTCCATCTGTCCTCTCCTAGCACTGTCTGCTGGAGGAGCCCTTCTTAGCCCAGGGTGGCTGCGTTGTATAGGCTGGTTGAAGGCTAGGCTCTAAAACAACCTCCACACCCACCAGCCATAGCTAAGGCCCATCTACCAGAGAAAGTACCTCTTTTTGGATGCTGGAAAATATGGGAGAATTTGGCAACAGGAATGTCATGAGAAAGAGTGCAAGTGGCACACAGGTATGCAAAAGGATCCACATATGTTGGGGCAAATCTGATGTAAGAACTCCAGAGTATAACAAAGATAATATGGTCCAGGCCTGAGCCATCTTCTGGGCCTGGGTTATGGCATGAAAGGATTTCTGACAACAGTGGTGTTAAGTGATGAAAAAGGGCTGGAAACAGAAAACCAAGGGCAAGTGGAGAGCCCAGAGAGACTATCTACAAGCACTCAGGGCCTTTTCCAAACTAGAAACCCTTTCTTATTTTAAGACTACACACTCCTTACCTTGCTGTGCTCAGCCAGCCACACCAATGAGCCTTTAACATGGGGTCCTTCCAGTTCCTCCAGGTGGGGCTCTTTAGCCACCCTCTGCCCATTGCTGGCCCTGGAGCAAGTTACCTCTGAGGCTGCTCTAGTGTGGTAGGCACCATTGGTGCAGAGGCAGCTAGTTAAGGAAGCTGATGGAAGGCTGGGAAGAGGGGAAGTGGTCTGGTCCACTGTAATCGGTATCCACTGAGGGAACTCTCCTTTGTCTGTCTTCAGGTCTGACCGAATGGCAAATGCCTGGCCACACATTCACAAGTTTGTGTCGGATATGGTACAGAGGTTGTCAAAGTAAGACTTGATGCTGCAGTCTCCTTCCAGATTCAGGGGGTGTGTCCTGCTGTGCAGAAGACACCTTTCTTGGATTTGGGAGGCCTAAGAGTTCCTCATAGAAGGAGCACAGCTCCCAGCTGGTGTGCTGAGCAGGGCAGAGGACACAGTACACCGGTCCCATGGGGTGTCTGCAGCATTAGTCAGTGTTCCTGCCTGGGAGCTAGGTGTAGCATAGGGACAGAGTCCACCCTCTAGGACCCTTCAGGCTGCAAGGCCCAGAAAGGCAGGGAGACCAATGACTCTGTAATGAGCACGTGGTCACAGAGCTCTTGGGGTCAAAGGAAAAGAACAGGCAGCAAGCCATGGAAGCATAGGAAAAGACAAGGATCCTAGAGGAAGGTTAGGTATGTGGACATGAGATAACTTCAGCGATGGAGACGATAAGGACAGAGCAACCATTCGGGTGGTCTCATGGAAGTGGGTGCTCTCTGAAGCTGGTTAGTGATGATAACCAGGAGAGGGCTGGCCAGCTTGGAAACAAGAGCATAGGGATTTACTAAGCCAAACAAAGGGTTTTAGAGTTTCCAATGTGAGCTATTGGGGGAAGGGTGTACAACTTTTGTGGAGATTAGAGGAGCAAGATCAAGACTGAGAGATCTGAGTCAGGTGAACTCCAGATGGGTCCCTGGGGGACACCTGGTGGATGGTTTTCTGAGGGTCAGAGATATTTGAAGGATGGTTTTCTGAGGGTCCTGTGGCAGCAGTGAATGGGAAGAAGGGGAAGCCAGAGGAAGAGCAATTCCTTGGAGCCTGAGATGCTAAGAAATTTACAGTAGACAAGAGGTGAGGAAGAGGGGGGTCCTGTGGAGGATCTTGCTTGTTCAACATGGATGGGTGTGAATATGTGTGTGTATGTGTATGAGTGTAACCACATATAAGTACACATGCATTTGAGCACAGGGATGGAGTAGGGGGTTGACTTGGCTGCCTCTCTTTCTCGGGGATCACATTTCCATAGGGTTCAGAATCTTTCATGAAATTTACTCGACATCCCTATGCCTACTAGATAAGGCCTCAAAGGTGAAGGGATGAGAATGAGGAGAAGAGAACTTTGGGTGCATTCCTTGACACCCTGATGACATCATGTTGAGGTGGTGGCTTCTCATAAACACCTGCTTCCTCCCAGCCAGGATCTGCGGGTGTCCATCATTACCTTCTCCTGTAAGGGCACCGTCATCCTGCCCATCACTGGAGACAGGTAAGTGTTTATATGAAAGATGACTGAGGCTTGATGTTTCAGGCCTCCATGGAACTGAGGGCTTGCAGAGACCTCCATGAAGGCTCCTACATGTGTCCACAGTGGCTGCTGTCATATGCTTATATATTGATCCTCACTGCTAGCTCCATCCTGCCAGCCCCTCCAATTCACTGGAACCCATAATCTTGTCTTTCCAGAAGTTTTCTACATTTTTGCTTGTCTGCCTTCCACCATTCTTGAATCTTCCCTGGGACCTGGCTATAACAACACATGGGGTTAATGAGGGGGGAGAAGATATGTGGATCGCCTGAACAATCCTGGCTTTGTATACAGCCTGTTAGACTAGATCATCCTCTGCCTGGGTCACTGGGACAGGGAGATAGCTGGGAACCAGGGGAAGGTTCTGGGAACCAGGAAAGAGAGCTGAGGCCACTCTGGGAAGGGGAATCCCAGGGTGGGAGCTTGAGTCCAAGTCTGGCCTGAACACTACAGGTAGATATTCAGAGCAGGTACCCAAGAGGAAGGGGACCCACTTGTCTGCAGAGTACCAGAGAAAGGATGCTGGGCCCTTATGTGAGGAAGAGCTTTGGATGCCTGGCCTGGAACTCCATACACAGCAAGAGGAACAGAGAGAAAGAGGTGGGGCATTTAGGATTAGGGCTGTGCAGAGGTCTAGGAAAGCCCTGTCCAGGGCCTGGCAGAAAAGCCAGGCTCAATGAGTAAGAGACATGTCCCACACCTATGGAGATCATGGCTCCAGTTCATCTTGGAAAAGGAACAGGGGTGCTGGCTCCAAGAGTCCAGAAAAGATCTGATGTGCCCTGTGGCTTGGGTTTGGAGAGACCCGATCGGGTTTGAGGTGGCAGAGAGAATATCTATGGGGAGGATTCCCGGAGGAAGCCCAGAGAGGCAGTAGGAGCTGGGCAGATGGGTAGGGGCTGGGCTGGGATTGCAGGTTGTGATTTGATCCCACTGGGCCTAATGTGTGTTACCCTCATACTTCCTAGTCTGGGCTGGGCTAGGAAGTCTTCAGAGCTCAGCTCAAAGCAAGATCTCTTTACCTCCAATAGGAAGACTTAGAGTCCACTGTGAGTCATCTTGCTGAGTTTGTCACACTGGATTATCCTCATACCCCACTTCCTGTCCCAGAACAGATACCAGACCCAGGCCTGCCTGCTTCATTATGTTTTATGTGTCTTAACAGCACCTGACAGGCCATGTTGCTTCTAGCCCAGGGACCAACACAGATGCCTCACAGACAACCCTCAGGGCCCGACCCCCAGGTTCAGGTTTCTCTGTCAGAAGCTTGAGGAGTCTACAGTTGGCCTGGTATCTAAGTAGACCAGCTGCTGCCTTCAGCAGACTGGAGGAGGGAGTCATGCCAGAGCTCTGTGACAGTAGAGATAGGAGTTGTGCAGTGGCTCAGCTGGTGACATGGCCCCCTTAGCCCTACCCAATGGGTAATAGACTGCTCAGAAGGGTGACCTTGGCCTGAGGGTTCCAATTATGATTGTGGGTCCTCATGGGAGTCCTTGGCTCTGACACTGGCTGCGAATGTCTCCTGTCCTAAGCTGCCTCTGTGCTCGTGGGATCAGAAGCAGAGAAAGGCCCAGGGAAAGCTTGGAGATGTTTTGTCACTGCTCATAGTCTTTTTATCACCCTTATTTTTGCTTTTTTTCAGAGAAGAAATTCTTAAGGGTCTTGAAAGACTGAAGTATAGCATACCTGCAGGACACGAACACCTTTACAGAGGACTGTGGAAGGTGGGGAGGGCTAGAGTCATCTATGGATCCAGTACCGTGGGGGTCATCTCACAATGTCTCCAATTTTTCTTTGCTTTCCTTGCAGGCAAATACTGAGATTAAAAAGGCCAACTCGGGAGGTGAGCTGCCTGCACTTTAGTTGGGTGGGTCCCCACAGAGTCCACAGTTCCCTGGAAAGTCCATGTGCAGATCCCCAGGCCACTTCTAGTGCTTGTCCCGTGCTGGAAAAGACCTGGTTGTCCCTTCTCTGAGCCCCAACCCCTGTGAGCACAGCACTGTCTGTGATGCTTCTGATAAGGGTAGGAGGCCCCATATGGCTGTGTGGATCTCGGTCATGCTGAGATCTTTGGCCTACAGATGGCCCTGTGAACAGAAAGGAGAAAAACACAGTGACCTAGGCATGGGGCCAGGGCTTGGTGTCATTTTTCAATTCTTTTTTTTCTCTTGACCTGTCTCTTGCACCTATGTGTCAGGCAGTACAAGGGACAATGCACAGCTAGGATTCATGGCCTGGAATGAAGATCATAGCACTTGTTTGGGATAGGTAGGAGCAAATGGGGAAAGATGCTATGCGGATGTGGATTCCTTTGCCTAACAACTTCTGACCTATAGTCTTGATTACTGGGTTCAGTGTTACTACCAGGACTGTGCCCAGAGTTAGCACCAGCTTCCCCCATCTCACTGGCCATCCTCAGCCTCAAGGATAGGCTGAGTAGTGATGGGGCTTCCCTGAAGGTGCAGCCAAATCCACTTCTATAGACTGCTCCTGAATCCTATGCCTCCTAATCTGTAGAATAGGCAGTGGACAAAGTTCCTTTCCACTCTGGGTATCACTGAATGGTGGGATCTGGGTCTGGGCTCCTGAACCAAATGGCTAAGGGGTTGAGGAAACTGGGCCTGTATTAGGTAGTGCTGGGCTTGACAGTCTGTGGAGGTCCCAGAGGTTCTATGGACCTCTCCTGGAACCTCAAGCACCAAGTCACTCTTGCTTTCCTGCAGGTGTCCAGCGTCCCAGCATGATTATCTCGTTGCTCAACAGCCCTCTGGATGATGATAACTATAAGTACTCGTTGGCGGAGGTGAGCCCAGTCATCTTCGGCTGCATCTCCTCCACGTGGTATATGCCGATGGCTTATATGTAACCCTTGTCTTTCTCTTAGGCTGATGATGCTCGGAAAATGGGAGCATCTGTATTCACTGTGGGTGTGGGCCACTCTGAGAAATCACAGGTAACAGTCCAGGTGACCAGATGCCCCTCTGAGCCCCAGTTAAAGCAAGTCCTCCCAGAGGTAGTCATCTCATCTACCCCAGTGGTATAGGCAACAGGCAGTCACTGCAGCAGGATGGCAGACATGAGTGAGACTCTTTCCCCAGATAGGGTGATGAGAGAGCTCTCTGTTTCCAAAGCCTAGGCTGTGGGCAGAGCCATTGTCTGAACAATGATGGAATCAAATGGCTACTGGCTGGATGCTCAAGTCACTTCTCTCTTTTAGATAATAGGTCTTGCAGACAAGCCAGAAAATGCATTTCCAGATAGGAAATCGGAACACTTGAACGACCTCATTTCGCCAGTGAGTGCATTGGGTATAGGCAGAGGCTGTGCCGCTTCTCAGCATTCCTGCAGCTTACCTTGTTTACTGCTCTCTATGTTCCAGATAGCTTCCCATGCCTGTCCATCCCTTAAATCTACAGATACGCCCATTATATGTATCAGAGGTAAGAGCTGAGGGCACCGTTGTAGGCAGACAAATGTGTTGTATGCACATGCATGTGTTTGTGGTATGTGAGTGATAGGCAAGCAACCAGAATGCATGCATGTCAATTTCTGGATGATGTGTAAACTTTTCAGTGCATTTGGTTTATATGGTATAGTATGTGTCTATGTGTTTTTGGGTTGTTATCATATAATGTATTTTTATGTATAGATTTTGTATTGTACATGATATGCATATTTGAATGCATTGCGTGTACAAAGCCGGTATGTACGTTGGAATATGGATAAGTGTTGTATGTGTATGTATGGGCAATGAGCATGCATGGGCTAACTATGATTTGGGTATAGTGTAATGTACATGGACGGTACATGCTGTGATGACATAGAAATATGTGTACAATTCCTGCTTATTTATCTTATAACAAAAGTGTAATTGTTAAGCTGAAAAAGGGCACAAAACTCTCAATGAAACCTAGATGGACTGCCAGTCCATCTGGAGAAGCTTGGTTCCTTCTAGAGGAGTCAAGCATTCAACACTCACAACATGAGAACAGTAGTGTAGCAATCATGTTGAGAGACAAAGAGAAAGAACTGGAAACAGAGGACTGCCACTATGTTACTAGAAGCATTAAGGGACTCTGTGTCTACAAAAATGTCTACAAAGACAGCCATGTTCACTTTACCTCAGCACTGAAGTGGTAGATACTTGACCCTGAGGATTGAAACTGATAAGGGTGACAGCTGTCCATTCCAGCCTCCCCAGGGCAGCTTTGAGAGGTCACACATTTGTATGGTCTTGGGAGAGCTGCCTCTCTTGGTCAGGATCACGGTATATTCAGGCTTGGTCTCCATGTGGCTGGCATTTATGTCCCAGCAAAGAAGGCAGGATAGGGAGGTCTGAGTTGCTCTGCTTCCTTTAGTCTAGGCAGCTGGATCCTGACATCTGTGTCCTCCCATGGAGCCCCCACGGCTCTTGGCTTGGACAGACAGGACAACGATCACATCTGAGTTCTCCTACCCAGGATGCTCAACCGAGGACAAAGTGCTGCTCATCAGAGGGGTTACAGTGTATCTCTGATGGAAAGAACTGGCATGCACAGGCTGTCAATGAGATTAGGGACAACTGATAGAGGTGACAGGGGCAGCATGTAGAAGATGGCAGCTGCTAAAGACAGAATCTGAGACTGATATTTCTATATTGGTTCTTGGCCCTATTCTGTCCCTTGTCCTTCCCATGTTGTTTAAGAGAGAGGAGGCTGCTGTGTGGAGGAGTGAAAGGGAGAAGCCCCCTTTCTTACAAGCTCTCTTCTACTTCTGGGTAAAGGAGCCCAGTCATGCAGCCTTCCTGGGTGTTTCTAATTGTCCCATGGAAAAAAAGGCCTTGGTGTCTGGACATCTGTGACAAACCCCAGATGAAAACATGAGTTGTCTCCAGTGAGATAGGTGCCTCCAGACATCAGTTCAACCACAGAGCTGTTAAACCTTTGGCCATCTTGTGCGAACCTGCCTCATACAGAGTGTTCGCTGTTTGGAGGGAAGCCTAAGGCAGGATGCTACACCCCAAATGAAGCAAAAAGGACTGTTTCCTATGGCCATCACTGAGTCAGCCTGTGTTCCAGGGAGTCTGAAGAGGGAGGAGAGTCCTTGGTCAGCTACCCATGGGCATCTGAAGTGCTAGGGCACAGGGCACAGGAATGAGCTGGATCTGGGCCCTTAGGCAGCTAGGCAAGGTCACAAGCTCAGGAAATCCTACCTGGCTCCTGTGGGAACAGCCAGCCTGCTGTCTACTCTGTGTCTCCAGTATACAGGCATGAGTGCCAGTGCACATCTTCATTGCTGTGAAGAAGGGCTTGTCAACAAGCTGGAACCAATATGGATGTTGGTTCACACACAGACTCTCCCTTGTTGGAGGCCACCAGGAAATTCCATTTTAGGGGGTGGAGAGCCCTGACAAGGCAGATCAGGAAGAAGGAAGCGCCAACTCTCTTAATGGTTTGAACATTGTCCTTACAGAATCAAAACCTGTGGTTCTTCGTGGATATGGCTTTGACTTTGTCATGCGTAAAGAGGAGATTATTTGCAGGTTCTATTTAAGTGACATAGATAATAGTTTCAGAGGTAAGTGGGGGTCACATCTCTCAGTCAAGTCTCGCCACCCTCATTGACTATCCTGCTGGAGTAATGTGTATAAGTGACAGTGCCCTGGATGAGATACCTGGGATGCCACTTCCTTTGCTGGCACTTTTACCAGTACTCCTTTAAACTTACCACATACAAGAAAAAGTCATGATTTTATTCTTTACTCTCTGCCCTATATTCTTATACATTTTTATTATTGGACAACCTTTTAATATATTCCTCATTTTAAATCATTTCCTTTCCTTCTTCATACTTCTGCTATCTCCTTAGGCCCTGTTCCTCTAAAATTCCAGGCCTTCTCCTCTTTGTTACTGTTAAAAATATATAGCTACAGCCGCTGAATCCATTCACTGTTGCATGTGCATGATTCCAGGGCTGAGATCTTGACATTGGATAATCACATAGGACCTCCCTCGTGGGAGATTCCGTCATCCTCCTACTCAGAATCCCTTAGGGACCTATAGCATTTTGTCTTAGGTGATGGACAGTCTTTTTAATTTTTTTCTATTTTCCCTTTCTACTGTAGTTTTAGTAATATTTTGACTTCATTTTTTTTAAAACCCCATGATTTATATTTTCATGATTTAATTTTTATTTCCTTCTTACATTTAATTGTAAATGTGTTTCAAGTTTTCTCATTTTAGGGAAGTTTGTTTAGTATTTTTATTTAGTTTTACTATTTTCTTCTCCCTTGTCCTTAATTTTCTTCTCCACTCTCTACTTACTTATTTTTTACTTATTTAAAAACTCCCTTTCTCCCATTTCCCTGTCTGAGTCCTTCATCTTATTTACTATCCCCACACTTACCCTAAACAACGGATTTTCTTAACTGTAAATAAAAATGATACCACATCATTTTTTTTCAAGTCATCATGTTAGGCAAAATTATTGAGATCCAGAAAGACAAATACCATGTTTTCTCTCAGATGTAGAATTTCCCCTTTAAATATACATATAATTACACATGACCTAAAAGTAGAATCAAAAAGTGTCTAGGTGATCAAATGGGACTAACATGAATGGTATGGGAAGGTTTTGCAGGTAGAAGAGATAATCAGCATACAGAGTGTGTGTGTGGAGGTGTGGGTGAGAGGTAGAGAGAAAGAGGGAGAGAGAGAGAGAGAGAGAGAGAGAGAGAGAGAGAGGTTAGTCCCCAGTAGGTGAGCCCTGAGGTGCAGGGGCTCTTGCTGCCTGCTTCTATTGATGCTGGGGTGATGGGCAGAGTTGGGGCCCATCAGCAGTTTTTGGATTGAAGAAGGTAAAGAGGAGATTGCTGCTTTTTGGTTAGCTCTGCAGGAAAAGTGTGACAATGGTGGAAAGGACACATCCTTGGTAATTTTGTCATTTTCTTTTAGATGTAAAACCCATCAATTTTACCAAGAATACTGTTACTTGTCCTGGACCAATCGTAGAACTACCAGGAAAGTAAGTGCCCCTTGTTGGAGGGAAGAGATCAGTGTTCACCAGCATAGTGTGACACATAAGATGTCCCCTCTGCTGTAGAGCACCTATCTTCCTGCAGGTAGGCTCCAGTACCCTCCCACTTGTCCCTCCCCATTGCTGAGTGGTGCACAGTGCTCAGCTCTATTGAGGGCAGGATGCAGGAGATGATGGGACTGATGGCTAGAACGTTCTCTCACCATCTCTCTGGTACAAGCCAGTGTGGTGATACCATGCACATCTCCCTAATGCCTTAGCTCAATGCCTTAGTTCAAAGGCCATGTGATGTAGGTGCCTCTCACAGTCTAATCTGCAGTCCTTCACTATCATTGCAGAGGTTCACTCCTAGTTCCTCTGGAAATGAGCTCTCTTTGCCCACAAGTCCACTCTCCAGCAGTTGAGAGTGCCTGAAATTTAGTATAAGCACAAGCCCAAGGTCCTTGTCACCAGTGTCTGTCTCTGTGTTAGAGTCATCTATGTTCTACTCAGCCTGGACAATGGAAAAAACTTCCTGAATAACAATGTATTCGTTGCCAGCAAGCTATGTGTGAGTACCAGGGTGGGGCTGCAACCCCATCTGTGCAGATCCTCTGGTTGGTGCAGATCTACCTGGTAGGTCAAAGGGGCAGAGGGGTCCCAGGCAGGCTCCAAGGACAGCTTGTACACACAAGCAACTTAGGTGACCTAGTCCAGATTCCAGAAGGGCCAGTGGGGCATGTACCAAGCTTTCTGCCAGGGCTTGTCCATGATGTCTAGGGCATGTGACCTTTCCACATGGCTGTCCCAGGTCCAGGAACACAGAAGTCCACTATTGCAGTCAGGGTGTATGTGACCAAGAATTGGAGCCCTGGCCACTAGTGTTGCCCCACACATACTCTATGCCCCCTACCTTCAATCATGTTTGGTGACACCAGAGACCAGTGCAGTGTGACCAAAGAGCGTGTACATGAAAAGGTTTCTCTCGGCTTATCTTATAAGAAGCTCACAGACTTGAGTGGCATCTTTGGGTTTGCCTGGCTCATCCCTCATATCCACACGTAAGATGGGTGGGCAAACTCAGATTTCTGCTCCTTCAGCACTCACGCACTAACATTGCAAGACATAACACTGAGGCAGAGAAGCCCCCTGTCTTCAGCACCCAGCAGCTGTCCTTGCATCTCCCAAGTGGTCTCTACTTTCAGTCGGGAGATCATAGGCCCCAGGCACCTCCTCCCAGTGATTTCTACAGCCTCTGACTCAGTAGGGTTGGACAGGCTACAGTTCACTCTCAGAGGAAACTGGGAGAGTAATCCTGATCCTGAAGTTCTGTGGCCTGAACCTGAGCCAGAAACAGGACTGTGAACTCTGACCTTGCCAAGTGCCCATGAAGGTGGGCATTGCTTAGGTTGCAAGATGTGGCTAAGAGGAAGAAGGGTTGAGCAGCAGGTTGTAGAGTTGGGAGGTGGCAGAGAGGTCTTAGTCTTGTGGCCTTACTCATCACCGGTTGCGGCCTCTCCCAGAGATTTAGTCACCCATATCTAGTGCCTTTTCAGCTGAGACCATTGTGAAAGCCATGATCCTTAGACCACAGAGGATCCTGGACCATCCTTACTTTGGCAGAAGACTTGGATCAGGGTCAAAGGTGGGATCCCCTTGTGATCCATCAGTTACAAGAAGCTCAAGAATTAGAGAGAGAACGAGAAGCCAAGCTGCATATACCAAGGGGGAGCCTTGCACAATCGCCCTAGGTCTCTGCTGGATGTGCTTCTGGAGGTGGTAGCATATAACCTTTCCCTACCACAGGGTGCAGTTCTACACACAACAACTACAACCACAAGTAGGCCAACAACTACAACAACGACTACAACTACAACCACTACCACAACCCCATCTACCACGACAACTACACCGACCACAACCACAACAACTACACCGACCACAACCACAACTACACCGACCACAACAACTCTGCCGACTACCACTGAAAGCCCCACCACCATCCCCACCACCCCTTTGGTCACAGAGGAACTGAAGCCAAGCATCGATAAATTCATTTTTGCCCCTATACTCCTGGCCATGCTACTGACTCTGTCGCTGATTGGTTGTTTCTGGCAGCTGTGCTGCCTGCCGGTGAGTACCTCTACCTGCTCAGTCTGGGGCCAAGGAACATACCCTCCATTCAAGAGGCATAGACACAAGGTAGCACTGTGATCTTGGGGATGACAGAGCACAGAGACAAAGCTGGAAGGTCCCATCTCTATCCAGGGGAGCCGACAGTAGAGAAAGCAAAGACCAGCATGGAGGTCAGGGGAGACTGTAAGACACTGGGCTTCTCTCAGAGGAAGGGAAGGGGTGTGGGCTCTGATGCAGGTGGGGGCTAGGGCATGTATGCAGTAATCAGCTGCTGGGCTCCTCCTTGACTCAGCTTGTCACTCTCCACCTGCAGAGAAGGGTGGGTGCTTAGTAGATGAGGTGTGGTCTGCTGGACACAGCAGCCCAGGCATGGGCATCCACACCATTGCAGAATCTGTGCATCCCTGCTCCATATCAGGCACCCCTGTCTGCAGAGTTGAGGCAGAGGCAACTCTACACACACCAGCTTCTTTTGTCTGCTTTACCTTCCAGCCTGTGGAGGAGCTGCCCCCACCTAAGCCCCAACCACAGGTAAGTCATGCTTGGGATGCTGATGCTGTCACATGCCTCAGGACAATGACCTTCAAATAGGCATCAAAGACCTGTCTGTCAGGAAGAAGGTCAGAGGATCTCAAAGGGTCTAGGAAGGGGTTCACGGTTGCATCACTCATACTTTTAGGGCCTCCTGCCTTTGGCCACACAATCAGCACCATGGGGAGCTGTTTGTGTGAGCAGCTATTTCTATATTGACTCAGTGGTTTTTCAGGGGACCCCAAAGGACTCTGTTTGATGCTGAAGTTGCAGCTTGGCTCCTGAGAACAGACTTTTATGTCAAGCCCTCGGGCCCATCCCCATGTTAGAGGTCCTCTTACTCTATTAGATCTGTCTTCATCCCCACCTCCTGGAAGAGTAGACAGCCTAGGGTCCTGAGGGCTAAGGAGGGTGAAAGAGTCCCAGCTGGCCCTATGCTGTGAGAGATGTCCCTAGGGAAGCCCAGGAACAAGGTGGATGAGCATCTGTAGCTCACACTGAGTGAGGACCAGAAGTCATAGTGAGAGGCTGGGGCAGGTGGAGCCTGGGTTTGGGATGAGATAGGAAGAGGCCCCTGCTTTGGTGGGACTGTGCTGGCTGCAAAGTGGCCTGGGTGGGGATGCCTATGCAAAGGCCAGAGACAGATGGGATAGTTACCTGCTACTGCTGGCTTACTGTAGAGCAACCAGGTCAGGCTTCTGCCAGAGCCAGGCTGGCCTCAGAAGTGGGCTGTTATTACTCCATGAAGCTCCATATCTGAAAACTGTGGGGACGGAGCTCCCTGCTTTTCTTCCCATGGAAAACCTCCCTCAGGTGTGGAATACCTCCCTCCATTCACCCCAAAACAATAGCTGAGTGGCCCCACAGTGTCAAGTGCTATGCAAAGCACAGACAGGAACAGACAGATATTTCCTCTCCTATCAGCCCAGACAGAAGAAACAGCCCTCTGCTCCAGTGTCTCCCCCAGCACCAGCACCAGCACCAGCACCTGTAAATCCACCCCCCATTGTCATCGTCTGCTGCTGTACCTGTGGTGGCCTGTGTGTGCGCAGAGACGCGGAGGTGAGAGGGCCCCACAGGGCCTGTTACTCCAGCCTGCCTGGGTGTGGTAGGTTGCATCTCTAGGGTTCAGGATCTGAACAGATATGTGTCTGAGAACAACCACATGTAGTCTCTCCTTTATCCTAGGGAGGAGAGTGTGTAGGAGGGTCCCCAGACCACTTCCTCTTCCAGCTCCTGCCCTCCTCTTGGGCAGCATTCCAAGTTTGGGACAGTGTTGTGGAATATTAGTTTAACTATGTAAAGATGTGTTATATTTGTTTATGGAATGTTTGTTTAACTATACAAAGGTGAGTTGCATTTGTTTATGCAAATGTGTTGCATTTGTTTACCTTGTCTGCCAAGGCACATGATTGGTCTAATAAAAAGCTAAATGGCCAATAGCAAGGCAGTAGGAATAGGCAGGACTTCCTGGCAGAGAGATTAAGTAAGAGGAGGAATCTAGGTTTGACAGAAACAGTAAGAGAGGGGAAAAAAAAAAAAAAAACAGGAAGATGCCAGGTGCCAGCCCACCAGCCACAGAGAAAGCAGGAAATCAGGACATACAGAATGAAAGAAAGGTAAAAAGCTCCAAGGAAAATGTAGATGAATACAAACAGATTAAATTAAGTTATAAGAGCTAGTGAGACAAGCATAAGCTAAAGGCTGAGCTTTCATGATTTAATAGGAAGTTTCTGTGTTGTTATTTGGGAGCTGGTTGGTGACCCAAAGAAAATTCAAACAACAGGACAGTGTCTATTGCTTTATCTGGCCAGTCCCTTTTCCTCAGTGACATTTTCTTACCTCTGACAGTGTCTTTGAAACAGGCGGATAAGTCAAGATATATGGAATGACAAAGAGGTTTGTAAATCTAGGGACAATAAAAATAAAGACCAGTCCCTAAACACATTTGCTAACTGTGAACACAGAAGAAAGTCAGTGCCTCTGACTAACTAGGGTCATGTGGAACAGAGTTGACTCAGTGGTTCTACTGCCAAATAGTTATAGGTTGACATGGAGACCCTAATGGGTATCACAAAAAAAGGACATAGAGTTGACCTCTGGTGGGCAGACAATCTAAGCCTTCTATCATCTAGGAGGTCCAGGTCTGATGGAGGAAAAAGTTGGCCTGGCAGCAGCCTGGGCTCTTATCTATTTTCTTCTTTTACTTGCCCTCTTCTTCCTTGGTCCTGCCTCTGTGATGGTCCCTGCTTCTTTATGGAAGGTTATAGTTCCTCTGCAGCCTCCCAGACTATCTGAGACCCAGTCCTGCCTTTCTCCTGCCTATGACATGAGGAGAAGTCCACAGAAGTTCTTGGAGGAAGAGGGGGCTATTGCCCACAGGCCTAGCCTGACATACAGGGCCTGGCCCCATGCACCACACAAGAGGCCTGTTGAGTGTGAACTTCAGAGCTGAGGTTGTAAGGTTCACAACCCCTAGAACTAATGCTTTTCTGCTCTCTATGCTTTTGCCTTGGTCCATGTCACCTGCCACTGAGCAAGACAAATGCTGCTTACTTGCCTCTCCTGTGTGTCCCCTCTCCAGGTTTGTGCCCACATCATGACTTCCCTAAAGGCCTCTGTTTGCCACCACACATCCCTCCAGCCGTTTAACTTCTCAAAAGTCAGCTGCTGGCTTCTCTCCCACAAAAACACTGCATTGTCTCATCCCAGAGTCTTAAACTGTATCCCACAGTGACAATCCCAGGCACTCAATGTTGTAGGCTCCTCTCTCCAGTAGCACACATGGGCTCCTCCTCAAAATTTCTTGAGCACGGTGTCTTAGAACAGGATCCTTATGCCTTCTGGGGCAGAGTGCACACCCTACTTCTTCCTCATGATCGTGTATCTGTTTTCAGGGCAATGTGATTGTGCACAACTTCAACCCCCTAGGCTGCCACCAGTTGCCATTGATGTGGCCTCATTCGGATGACCAGGTGAGTGGCCCCCAAGACCATTTCAAAGGGACAGAATGGCAAATGATTTTTCCTGTAATGGTTACTTTTTGTGGCTCAGAACCATGTCCCAGAAGAGGCTAAGGAAGAATTCCCAAGACATGAGACCTGGTACTCATGAACCTCCTAGCGCCTCCATGTAGTCAAAGACTCATCACTTTGGCCATGGTTGACAGTCGTGTCTGAACAATAGTGACCCCATTTATCAGGCAGTAAAGGTACTTCCTCTCTCTCTCTCTCTCTCTCTCTCTCTCTCTCTCTCTCTCTCTCTCTCTCTGTGTGTGTGTGTGTGTGTGTGTGTGTGTGTGCTTTAGCATGTGTATACACATGTATAAGAGGGTATTCTTGCCCGTGTATGTGAGTGAATGGAGGCCAGAAGGCAACAATGCCTGTCTTCCTCAGTTGTTCTCTTGTTAATTTTTGAGATAGGGTATCTTATTAAGCCTATAACTTGCTGTTTCTACTAGACTGTCAGTGATCTCATGGAATCTGTCTACGCCTTGCTCAGTATTGAGGTTTTAAGAACATAGGCTTTTTGTGTGGGTGCAGGGGATGTGATTAAGGTCACTCTTAGAGGGTTACTTCAAGTCTGGCATGTCCTAATAGTGCTTCCTGGGCTCTGGCTGACCAGTTTATCTCTGCATGACTGTGACTGGTAGAGTGGGGTGTGAATCCTATCCTAAGCCTGGAGCAAAGAGTGACGTTTGTCTTCTTCAGTCCAAGGTCTATGGCAGCTCTGGAGCTGGGAATGTGACATATGGCAGAGAGCAAGCTCTGAGGAAGTAAATAGAGGATCCTGTGGGTGTATGCATAAGGTCTCTAAACTGGGTTATAAAATACATTAAGACTACCTAAGAGAGTCAGGTGGTGGCTCACACCTTTAATCCCAGCACTCCGGAGGCAGATGAAAGAGGATATCTGAGGCCAAACTGTTCTGCAGAGCAAGTTCCAGGACTGCCAGGGCTACACAGAAATACCCTGTCTTGATAAACAAACAAACAAACAAAAAACCAAAATAAAACAAAAACTGCAAAAAGAAAGGAATTGTTTGAGAGGTTTCTATTTGGAAGATACTGACTTGAGAAAGCTTAGTGCCACCAAGAAGTTTTATCTAAGTGGCTTCATGTTACTTCTGCAGCCAGGCAGCCCACATGCAGGACAAACAATTCTTTAGTCAATAAGATTCATGAAGTATTTCACCCTTACATAGTGCCTGCTCATGCTCTGATAAACACAACAGCATCTGGAGGAGAAAGAGAGAGGAAGAGTGCAAAGGGGGCTTTTTGAAAAACACTACCCAACAATTCCTGTATGCATTCCACTTGCTGGAGCTCACCCCCATGGCCATATTGGGACAGGTTCCTTCATAGTTGGGCACCTAGCATCCCTTTGAAAATTCACTTGTTGTTTTAAAGAGGGTAAATGACATTGGGTTGCTTGACAGCATTTGCTTTTGCTGACCCCTGTAAGAGCTGAATTATAGATGGCAGATCATAGATAGGTTTAGAAGCAGCCCCTCTGGTCTGACTTGAAGTGAATGACATGGAAGGCTTTTGTAAAAGACCCAATAAAGACTCTTCAGACGGTTATCTGGGCACAAGAAGCTGGCAGAGGGCCATATAGGCAAACGTGTTGTGAATGAAGTCTGTGTGGCTCAGGGCTTCCAGGTTGGAGTATGTGGCGATGGGCACAATCCTAGGACTGTGCCCAGGGCATAGAGTGAGATAGAGGCCTCTGGGTTGCGAGGCAGGTGCACTGTGTACTGAGAACCACCTGTTTATCCCCATATGGCTTCCTTGCTTCTGCTGTGTGAGAAAACAGGGTCCTTCCCTTTGGAAGGTTCAATCTCCCTTAGTCCTGAATGTACCCCTATTTCCTGCCTCAGAACACGTGTGGCCCCCTGTACTGGTCACAGACTTTTCACACTGAAGTGTGGAATAACTTCAGTGAGCTAAAATCAAGTTGTTTCCAGGAACCCATCCTTGTTGAGGCTGTGGGAGAGTCCATTTCCTTGCCCTTCATGACCTTTGGAGATGAAGCCTCAGCCTTCCATGTTGTCAGGCCCTTCTCTACCTACAAAGCCAGCAAGGCAGAGCCTTCCAGTAGTTCCCTGCCCACATCAGCCCTGCATTGTCTCCTGCTGGGGTTTGCATATGCTCCTCATACTTCTCTAGCATGTCTCCCCATCCCCATATCCTTGGTCGTGTTCACAGAACTCCTTTTGCTGGGTAGAGTACAAAAGACAAAGTTTGTCAAGGCTGGAACCTGAGGATCTTTCCTGGTCTCCACACCATTCAGACTCCTGCTACCTGCACCAGATCTGGAAGGGAGAGTGAAAGTGAATCCAGGGGAGAAGAGGGGTCACCCCCAGCCTACCCTGTGGATCTGTGGTGCTTCCCACCACCTAACCAACCAGATTCAGGGCCTGATTGCAGTGCTATCTCAGTGTTCTGTGTCTCCTCTTTCCTGCAGGCTCCCTGTGCTCAGGACCCCTGTGGCCCCAGGGTCAGCCTGCCACCTAGCCAAGAGTATCTGCCTCTAGCTTCCTGCTCTCAGTACAACCAGTTCCCAGGCTGCTGCTCCAGGCATCCATCCAGGTCGAAGTTGCTCGCCCCTCCTTTCTGGGTTCCCAGAGGCCGACTGTCACTCCCACCTATGTAGTGAATGTCTCAGGTGCCACAGAGCCAAGTCTGAGAGGTCTTTTCTGCTGTATCCTGTGTATCAGGGCTAGCATTTTAATAAAAGAAATAATAGATTGGAATAAGTTTCTCATTAACAAATCTGTTATTTGGGGAGATGCCCCCCTATCTTGACATGTGTTTCTGCTGCACCCGTGACTCGACAAGGGCCACTGTGACTTCTGACATCTCTGTCTTTATCTGTTCCAAGAGGGAAAACATTTCTGTAAAACCCTCTTTCTCCCAATTTTTGAGTTACAAAGACTAGCTTAGCCCTGTTCCTTCTATTTTTATAAAGGAAAGCTTTTTAATGTATCAACTATTGAGTCCTGTGACCCTGGTCCCTATTTTTAGGCTACTCCTGTCTTAGATGTGTCCTGGAAGGAGGCAATGCCACTTCTCTTTCCAGACCCACCATGCCATCCCTAAGTCCAGCACATTTTAGAGCACTATCTGGAGGAGACAAATATCTACTGTGCCTTTGTCAGTACTGTATATGCTCTACCCAGCTGCTAGACACACAGTAGCCGACAGAAAAGGCTGTGGTTCTTAAGCTGGGTCAACATCTTCACTTAGGTCAACAGCCCTTCCATCCACCGCAGGGTGTGGCTTAGCCCCACTGGACTCACAGCAGGCTTCCATGGGAGAAGGTAAGACACAGACACAGGATAGCCAATGAGTATATCCTTTGGCATCACAGGCACTCTCTGGAAGAAATGGCCCAAAGAGGCATCTGTGCTAGCTTAGCCATCAATGAGTCAAGATCTGTTCAGGCCTTTCAGATATGTGTTCCTGGACTAAGCAGCAGATGGAATTCTCTTTTGGAGGGCAGATTGCTGGACTGGCTTGGGAGCTGAAGCCTAGGACCATGATTTCCAAGAAGGAGAAAGGTGAGAGAAGGTACACCAGGAGTCACAGAAGGAGCATAGATCAGAAATCCTCTGTCTTGTTACCAACCTGGTGCACACTGCCCGGGACACCAACAACCCAGGATGCTAGGAGGATGCTGACACATATAAGCACTCAGAGGCCAACCAGGACTTCTTTAACCTTCTTTAACCTATGGCTGTACTATTTCTGTGGTTCAGCTTGCACAGGAAGGAAGAAATCCAGGATACTCTTTCAAATCCAGTCCCCAGGAAGGGCCTGAGGGTCAGTCCAGCCTACCCAGCTCTATACTTGGACAGATTAGGTTCCTCTTAGGACAGGTAGCAACCAAATGCTCAGGGCAGCAAAGGCAAGGCTCTCTGAACAGCAGGGAGAAGCCACAACAGAACTATCAACCTCTGCATAGGCCCTTGTGGGCTGCCCAGCTGGCTGAGAAGGCAGTCTCTGACAGTCAGTGGGCTGAACAGTATCAAAGACCCAGATGGGGCCAAGACACTGGTACAGCACCCTGAAGCCCTGCAGTGGCCTCCTTGCCTTCAGGAAGTAAGTCAGCACAGAGGGCTGTGTTCTGGGCTCTGATCACAATGGCCTGGCCTGTTCTTTGGCACAAACTGGTCATCCCTGAGCTTCTGTGATAATACAGTGGCTAGGAGAGAACTGTTGCTTCACAAGAGTAACTTGGAGGCTGAACAGGCCAGGTATTTGCTTGTCCATGACAAAATGGAGGTCTTGGTGATCTGACATGGCTTCTGTCCTGTGTCGATTGGTATCAGATCTGCCGTGGACCTTTGCAATGATAGAAACTTCTGGAACCCAGGCTATAAAGATCTACTGTTTTTGTTTTTATTTAACATATGTTTTTTTAAATCACTTCTTTTCAGTTTGTTCAGATTTACTTTGCTATTTATTTTCTAATATATTTGGTTAGATTTCTGGCTTGCTTATTTTTCTCCCTTCCAATTAATATAAACTTTTTGGGTTTCAAACCCCATTTCTTCCTTCATAGAATATTTAAATTTTTGATGGGTGGTGTTGTGACTTCTCCTAAGATACATAATTGTTTGTATGGATTAAAGCTTCCAAGTTTTGTGTGTGTGTGTGAGTGTGTGTGTGTGTGTGTGTGTGTGTGTGTGTGTGTGTAACTGGAAGTGAGTATTACTAGAATCTACCCCATTCTTTTACTCTATTACACATCCCCATCAAGGAGCTGCTTCTAGCCAATGGTTAGGCCCAGGAATCTGGAAGCAGGTCCATGCTAGTAACTTCAAATTCCCCATCTGTCCTGACCAAAACTTTCTTGCAGCCAGTACTCTGTGTCTTCTTCCCCAGTCCCCTTTCCACCCCTCCTTCCTTTCTAAATTGGTGCTAATGTGTGTCATTCACACAGCCTATCATGTTTTCATCTCCTTTGCATCACTTAGCTTTTTCACCAACATTGATGTTGCCTTTGCACCTCTGAACATATCTTCACTTTGTGCTCACTCCTGAGTAATAGTGCAGGTGGACACTAAATATGTACATTGTTTTCCAAGGCATCCAAAGACCTTATAGCCTGATATCCATGAGTATTGTGTGGCTATTTGACAACCAGTGTTTCCTGGGTAACCCACGTTTTGAGCTTGGTGTATTGTAAAATGGGTTTCTCTGACCTTGGTGATTGCCCGTGTGGGTGTTTGGAGCTCTGGTCAAGTGCCTAATTGTTATTTCCTTTTCTATTAACAAAGTATTTGCTGTGGGAGCATCACCTGGTGGTTTAGAGAAGAATGGCCGCATAGGGTCATAGTCATTAGGGAGTAGCACTATTTGAAAGTATTAGAAGGGATGGCCTTGTTGGAGGAAGTGTGTCAAGGGGATGGGCTTTGGGGTTTCAAAAGCCCATGCCAAGCCCAGAGTCTTCTCTCTGCCTGTGGACCAGGATGTAGCTCTCAGCTATTCTCCAGCACCTGCCTGCATGCTGCAGTGCT